TTTCATGGATTGAAGATTTTGGTTTCTATTCTGATTCAGTATGAGGTTATTAGACTTTGGATTATAGATTGCGTTTTTATCTGTCAGATCGCATTCACCTGACAGTTTATTAGAAGATAAATATACCAGGACTTAATGGGATTGTGTGAACCTATTTTTTTAAGTAAGCTAAAAATTAATACTTTCACTACTTTGATAGGCTGTAGTCTAGGAGGCAGTGACGATTTTCGGTACTTATTTTCCCAGTCACGAAACATGGATAGAATTGTAGGGATACTAAATCTAAGCAAAATTCATATATATTTAGGGGGGTTTTCCATTGGGCTGAGGCACAAAATGCGTTAGAGCTTACGAATGCACAACCATTTCTTTTTCCAGTGATAAAAACAGCTCTACTAATTAGAAGTATACTGAAGTTACGTGAAAAAATAGTCCGGGTAATCTGTATGGATAATAAGTCTGGCGAGTGAAAAATTGAAGATCCGAAAATTTTCAGCCAGACTCACTTTCCACTATCTGAGATAAGCCAAATAGCTATTTTCATATTTTATGTTCCATAGTAGTAAATGTGAAATATTTATGACTGGAAAAATAAGTGTACCACTTGTATTTTTCATCGATCTTGTGAACCCATCCGAAAATTTCAGCTATAGAATCCAAAAATTCTTATTTTGTATCATCCAGAGAACAAACTTTAATATACATTAACTAGGAAAATGAGTGTTAAAAAATTTCACTGCCTCCTGGACTACTGGTAAGTACAAAATTCTACAATTCTATCTTTCAGAGGATTTTAATATGTATATTATATTTCCACAACTTGAAATTTAGTCCACACCTGGAAATACAGGCAAAATGTTATTTAGTCACAGACCGCGAGACGAAAGTTCAAGAAAAGCTAGACAATTGCGTGATGCATTAAAAAGCTTAATAAAACATAAAACTACACTAAAATAATTTTCTTTAACGCTGCATTAAATACTTTTGGTCAAAAATGCATCAAATTAGTGTCCACGAAAAACCAAACTACGGCGTCAATAAAGCAATAACAGACTTCATTTTTGGAACAAAAACTTACAAGGGTTCAACCTACCAGCATACAGAGCGATTTTTCAAAAAAAAAAAAAAAACGCCTTTATTTTCATTCAAAAAAGAGCAAAAAAAGGCGATCTTCAGCAATATTTTCCTACAATAAATATTCAATATATCAAAAAAACGCTTCTGTAGGCTGGTTGTATAATCCTTCATTTATATAAAGTTAATTAGTCATCTCGATATCTGGAGCAGTTTTTTTGTAGTTTGGTTTTTACGAAACGCTTACAATCCCACACGTGTTGTGGCCCCTTAAAGTTTGTAGTTAGATCTGCAAGGATTCAGTGCTTGGTGTTAACAGGTTACATGTTTCTCTCCACTTTTCTCCTAGATTTTGCTGGTTCCTTAAATAAGCACAACAAAAATAGCACACATCAGAAAAACTAGAGTACTTACTAAATTCAGGCCTATTCAGTGCGAATTTAGTACGAAAAAATATAATTTATATCTCTATTTTTAAAAAAATTACGTGCATGTGTACCAGTGCTTAAGATTAAGCTGGCACACTCTAGTTGGATAAGGTCGAATCTTTGAAAATCTAGTACCTCGTATTTAGTGCTAGTTTGGTACATTCATGGCATGCCTAAAAAACTAACAATGATGTATTTATTACGAAATAACTACGGAAAAGTGCTAACTTAAGACTTGAATTACCACACACACATCGAATCGACCGCGCGAGAACGGAATTCGCATGCACATATTTAGTGCTAATTTAGTACTCCAGAAATGACGACCCGAAACGAATTAGTATCACATGAGCAAAGAGCTAGCACTTATGTGCTGGCTTAGTGTTTAAGTTAACAAACATTATCACCAATGACGCGATGAAACTAGAGTACTAAATTAGCACACATTTAGTGCTAATTTCGGACGTTAGTTTGGGTAAGGTAGGGTTATTTTGGGTTAGTTTGGGTTAGCTCTGTGCCGATGTGATACTAGTTCGTTTCGGGTCGTCGTTTTTGAAGTACTAAATTAGCACTAAATATGTGCATGCGAATTCCGTTCTCGCGCGATTGATTCGATCTATGTGTGCTGATTCAAGTCTTAAGTTAGCACTTTTCCGTGGTTATTTTGTAATAAATACATCATTGTTAGATTTTTAGGCGTGACATGAATGTACCAAATTAGCACTGAATATGAGGAACTAGATTTTCAAAGATTCAACCTTATCCAACTAGAGTGTGCCAGCTTAATCCTAAGCTGGCACGCATGCACCTAATTTTTTTTTTTAAAGTTATAAATTATTTTTCTCATACTAAATTAGCACTAAATAGGCCCGAATTTAGTACTCTAGTTTTCCTGATGTGTGCCATTTTCAATTTTTCAGACCTAGATTTTGCGCCACCTTATTTTTTTGACAAAAATGAAAAAACTTCTTCCATTAGACCAGTGCAGGCATGCATGAAATAAATTCAAAAACTGGAATAATATAAGTACACCCGAGAAAAATCCATTACTCAGGATTTATATAGAGGTAAGTATACAAGGTTGACTCAGTTAAGACCAGAACGGATTAGACGTTTTGAGGTCCAGACTGATGAATAACGTTCAACTCCAAGATTATCTAGGAAGGATTTTACAAATCCACTCTATTGACACCTCCTCAAAGCAATACGTTATTCACTTACCAGTCTGGCAGTCACCACATTATCTGAATTCATGGATTTTAGATCTAGTTTTGTAAAAACTTGAAAGTATCGTTAATACTCAGTACCACAATCGGTACTTATGGTTATTTCGAAACAAATATCAATACTCATATTTGATATACTTACCTAATTATTAGAAATATACCAAATCTACTTACCTTAAAGGGATTTTCAATACCTAATTTTTGAAATATTTCCCCTTTGCAGATTTCTTTAAATTGTTAAAAAAAAAATATATATTTCAACCTGAGTTTTTGCCTAGGTTTTGGGTTAGCTACAAAAATAATAAAAAAATGATTTGAATCAAGTTCAAGGTAATGGCTTGGATAATGGTCAAAGTTTCCCCTATAAATCCAATTTAAGTTTCTCACTGCCTAGATTTGCGTTCTCGGCATGGAGCATTAAAAAAATGAATTGAATTTTTGAAGGATCCTAAATACCTACCTATTCATATAAAGTCGAAATTTCTAATATTTATAGGTACTCATGGTACTTGTGGATCACACTCAACCTTTAGTTAGGTACCTACCTAGGGTTGCCAGATTGAAATATCTACAAATCGGGAATACCATCAAAAAGCTATTAAAAAATTGGGACTTTGAATAAAAAACGGGACACTTTTTTTTTCAAGGAATAATTTGATATAAAAATAATACTGAACAATGAAATTTCTAATAAAATTTAAAAATAAACTGAGAAATGTTCCACAGGAAGAGAGAGAAGTATATGTCAGCACTGGACAAATTGGAGCTTAAATAATGAGAAAAGGGCTAAAATCTGTTAAAATGGGAAATATGAAACAAATCCAAACTAAATTATTTCCAAAAATATTCACCTTTTATTAGTAACAATCGAAATGGACAAAAATTCCATTCTTTTACACCAACAGAAAAAGAACCTGGATATCTCCAGACTCCAGGGGCCCGATTCTCGTCCCAGAGAGAGGAGCGCTCCCCAAGAGAACAAATTTTTTGTCTTTATCATTCTCATTCACTTTTCGATTACATTGATAAGGACAAAACATTTGTTCTCTTGGGGACCTCTTCTCTCCCTGAGACGAGAATCGGGCCCAAGACAGTATGATATCTCACGAAATAGACTACTTGCTTTGTAGATAAATCTTCTAACAGATCCACCACATAGAGTCATTATCAATGACGATTATAGAGTTCTGAGAAATAAAATCAAGCTCGAGGTAACAAGTATGTACAATTCAAAAATAAGTAAGTACTTTTAATTTTTTCTAACTTTTAAAAGAATTTCGTGAAATCGGGACATTTAGCGTCCCGACGTATAGTCTATCGGTACACGGGACAAAATGTCCAATATCGGGACTGTCCCGTTAAAATCGGGACGTCTGGCAACCCTATACCTACCTCGATACCTACCCAAAAATTGAGTCAAAATGTTTAATATAAGGCCTTTTTGGGTTTGGAAAAAGAACAGTTCTAAAACGGTTCAAAACGATCACACAGTTTATTATTGAAATTTGTGATAGCCGAGTTGTTGTCATTTTGATGATTGATAAACTGTCCGATTGTTTTGAACTGTTCTAGAACCGTCTTTTTTCCAAACTCGAAAGGGCCTAATGTGTCTTCTTTGTCACAAGATTTTTCCACATGTTTACCAAAAAGGCCTAATGAATAAATAGCTATTCTGAGAGTGTTTTTAGCTCGGTTTTTTTCCGATTTTCTAGAGACCCAAAGAAACCAATTCAGGAAATATCTTGAAGTGATAGGTACCTATGTAAGAGCAAAAAAAAAGTATTCAAAAAACCAAAAACCTGCTTAAAAATGAGAGGTAATAATACATAGGACCTACATAAGGTACCGCTCCATATAGATCCTACCAAACCCTTTTATTTTATGTTTAGCAAATCAACCACTCCCAAAATACCCGAGAATACCTATACCTAAATGTTGAATTACAGATTAGGAATATCTCCACTTTAGAGGAAAAAAAAAACTGGTTGGTACAATCTAATCTACTGAAAAATCTAAATTTTTCATCCGAAAGCCGAAGTTCAAAAAAAAGTATCCAATCCATAAGGTCACAATAAATTATTATTGAAGATCCCTTCTTATGGCCTCCAAACATGGCGGCCCATTGTGCCAATGATTTGTGCTATCCACCACATAGAGAAATTTCTCTCTTTGATTTTCAACCTAAACTGCTTGTATTTTCATGATTTGATCAATTAAATGATCCTTAATAGTTCATAAGCTTCAACTACAAGAAGTTAAAATTGTAACTTACCTCGTATTTAATTCCTGCGAGTCTCAGCCAAGTTTCGACTTTCAAACAATAGGGGCTCATCGAAGGCAACAAGGGAGTACGCGAAAATTGATACAAATAAACAATATCCTTTTCGAAGTTGTTTTTGTGCACAACAACTTTCGGGGGTGCGGGTTCCTTTTCTTTTTCCTTGCTGGGAGCATCCCCCGCCCCGGCTTCGGCCTCTTTTTTCGCCTCTTCGACTTTTGGAGTATCTTTTTCCTCTTTGATTTCTTTGGTCTCGGCCGCTGGGGCGTTATTTTCAACTTCCGTGGCCATTTCTGAAGTGTTTTTTTGTTTAAATTTAATTTAAAATACGAGCACTGAACGAAAAACACGAACACTTAAATTAAACACACAAAGATGCAACTGCGGCCGGCTAGAACACGACGAGCAATGCAATGCAAAGCAGGGGCAAACAAACGTCTTTCGAGCGAACGCTTTTGTGTGTTTTTGACAGGAAAAGAACGGAAGAACCCGAAGAATAGCGGCAACGTCGCTGGGCTGAAATGTGAGTGGCCCAAACGAAAAGACCACGTTGCCGGCTGTTTGTGAAAGAATTTAGGGATTTGAAATGCTGGCTCATTCCTATTCACTTCTTTGTGCAGCGCTGTGCTGAGATTGGTTTATTTTTTCAAATTAAAGGAATATTAATTGCACTAATCCCAAATGGAATATTTTTCTTATTCCAAAATTCAGCGCTCGACTAGTAGTTTGAGCCACCCTGTCTGTAATTCAGTGTCATGTATAGTTTACCAGTGTTATCAGATTTCCTGTTTTTCTGACAATCTACTGTTTTGAGCTTTTAGCTACAATAAGATATGAGCCGATTAAACGCGATGGAATATTAATAACCTAGTTAAAAATGGTATTACCATTCACGTAAACGCGGTTTTGGTTATTTTTGATCATTCGGTAGTGACGTCATCATTTGGCCCTTTGTGACGTATTGAATCAGCTGTTTTTATCTTTGGTTCAACCATTTTTAACCTACCTCTGGAGCTAGGTTATTATGTTCTGTCCTTGTCTGAAAAAGTAAATAAAGGAGAAATACCCGAAATGGCGGATTTTGACGGGTTTTTCGTTGTTCTGTTGTGTTTTTTATGTTGTGTTTTTTTGTGCAACTCCAAAAAATGAACTTCGAACTGATCGAAAAATCAATCTTTGAAGATTTGATCTAGGTTAACACAAAACTAAACACTAAAACTTCACCAAATAATAAACATAATAATAATGTACTGTACTTTAGGTGAAAATTTAACAAAAAACAATCACAAGACAGAACAGAACGGAATAAACAAAAAAATTGGGGTTAACGGAATAACCATAGCATAAACGCGAGCTCTCAGGTTAATCAAAAAGGGTCGACAATCGCTGTTTCAAAGATAACCAAAGGACTGACCAAAGATATAACCGCGGTTAACAATATTCCATCGCGTTTAATCGGCTATGGCGTCACGAGCTGAAAGATTGTTTGCCGTCCTATTTTTGATTGATACTTTAAAATCCTATATTGAAAATGAGCAAGAATATGGCGGTACAGGCGTGGCTTACTTCCAAGGCAGACCTCAACTCTTGGCGAAAATGCATTAGCCGAGTTTAAAACACTTATAGGTGAAAAAAAAAAACGATTTCCTAAACCTTAAAATCTTGTTGAAATCACCTTTCTACATTAAGAATCGACGAAAAAATTAACTCACAAGCACAGCCTGAACCGCAGGCATATTCCATCGAGGTCTGCGTTTGACGTCACCAGTATTAGCCGCCCATAGTGGTGACGTCACTCGCAGACTTTTCGAGCTTAGAAACACAATAGGGCAATCCAAACAAAATGACGGCCAATGCCAAAAAATTGGCGCCATAAATTTAATTCAAACAACCATGACATTTTTCATCAAAAAACAGTTTTTTGTGTTTTTTGTGGTGTTTTTAGATGATTTTGTAGTACTTGGAAGGGTAATTTCCGTATTTCAAGATAGAGAGTTTCTAGTCAGAAATTATTTATTTATTTATTTATTTATTTATGGTTCACATTACAAACACCGATGAGGTAATTATAGGTAATGGTTAAAAACAACTTAACAAGAAAAAAAAAAAAACTATACTATACTAGACCAAAATTAAACTAAACAAACAGACATTCACAGCACTAGGATTTACTTATATCATCTGTAATTCTCTGATACTTGTGAAAAATATATCTATGTTGACTCGGGCGAGTACTCTATTGCATATTAATAACATTGTATTTATGGGTGATGTACTGACTAGATCTACACTAAAAAGCTCGTAGTTTAAGTTTCTTAAATTAATTTTAGGAACGTTAATGTGTATATATTTAGTTAAATCACAGTCTTTATACTTTATATAATTCAGAAGGTAGAATACAAATATCACAGCCTGTTTATCTCTTCTATCCTGCAAACTCTGAAACCCAAAGCCCTCAAGCATGCTTCTATATGAAACCATATAAGGATATATGTTATTTTTCCTGACATAAAGGTATCTCAAGAACCTCTTTTGAACTTTTTCTATATGGTCCACATGCGTGTGGGCTGTGGGCATCCAAACCTGGGCAGCATATTCTAGATGTGGTCTCACTAGAGCATGATAAAGTCTAACAATCGTTCCCAACTCAAAGGACTTTCCATTTCTGATAATGAATCCCAAAGATTTATAAGCCCTATTGACCATTCCAATAAAATGGGAATTGAATCTCACATCGCTCCGAAAGACAACTCCCAAATCTTTGATTTCACTCTTTCGTTCTAAATTGACCCCATTAATAGCATAGTCATACCCAATAATGTTGTTTTTTCGTGAGAAAGTCATGACTGAGCACTTTTTCACATTTAATGACATTTTGTTCTCCCTAAACCAACAATTGACATCATCCACATCCCCCTGGAGCAAGAAGCAATCCTGAGGTGAAGATATTTCCTTGAAAAATTTGAAATCATCCGCAAAAAGCAGTCCCGATGACTCAGTAAGGCAGCCAGGGAGGGGGTTAATGAACAAAGCAAACAACAGTGGGCCTAAGGTGCTACCCTGAGGCACTCCTGAGGTGGCCACGTACTTGCTTGAGGTAGTCTTGCCTATCTTTACCATCAGAACCCAATTCAGCAGATATGATTTTAGGAACATAAAGGTGGAGTATGATATTCCCATAGAAACTAGTCGATCCAGAAGCAGCCCATGATCGACCTTGTCAAAGGCTTTCTCACAGTCGGTATAGATGACGTCTAATTGTTTTTTATTTTTTATTGCCTCAGAAGCACGTTCAGATAGCACACAAAGGTTTGAAACAGTAGTTTTATCAGTCACAAAACCATGCTGAAATTTAGAAATTTTTGGCTTTAGAGCGCTTGTTAATTTGGTACATAGGATTTGTTCAAATATCTTTGCTATTACGTTGATTAAGCTTATTGGTCTGTAATTGCTGATTTCATTCACATTACCGTTTTTATGAATGGGTGTAACCAGAGCTGTTTTAAATGCTTCAGGAAATTGTGTACTTGTGATGGAAAGATTGAAAATATGTGCCAGAGGTTTCATCATAAAATCGGCAAGACCCTTGTATATATAGGCAGGTATGTTGTCTGGGCCTGTTGACTTTTTAGGTTTTAGTTTTTTAATCGCATCAAGAACATCAAACTCAGTTACAGGAGGTAGACTGAATAGAGATGCATCCGTGGCTGCCTTGTAGCTGCCAGGAATATCTGAGACCTGGAAAACAGATTTAAAGAACTGTGCAAAAGCATTCGCAATGTCTCCAGGAGTGCTGTACGCTGAGCCCTCGAACCGCATTTCCCCCGGCAATCCGCTTGGTTTTGACTTGGAGCGTATAAAATGCCAGAAAGCGTTAGGATCTTGAATAATGTTTGCTTCAATACTTTGTCTGTGCAATTTTTCTTCACTTTTTATTTGATGTTTTGTTTCTTTTCTCAGTGCATTGTACAGATTTTTTTGCACAGAATTTGCTTTATTTTTTTGTATAAGTTTGTGTAATTTATTTTTATTTCTTATTTTACGCACCAAGTCAAGAGAAAACCAGCATGGATATTTGGGTTCATGTGCAGTTTCTCTTACCACATGCCTTGGTATGGCTTGATCAAAAATAGAATACATCATTTTATAGAACAGATCAAGGCAGTCATTAACATTTACACATTCAATGAGATCGGACCAATTGCAATCTTTTACCAACTGATATAGCAAGAGAAAGTTACCTTTTCTGTAGTCATATGAATACTGTTTCTTTATTGTATCTTTGGCATACGTTGAGTGTTTTAGAGGGATGTGAAATTCAATTGCCGGATGGTAGGGGTCCTCGGGAACTAACGTATTTTCAACCCTATGCAAATCTCCCAGACTAAAGTTGGATATCAGTAGATCCAGGTACCTGCCCCTAGAATTTTTAATATCATTATATTGAACTAGATTGTTAAAGCTTAGAAACTCGTGCAATAAAATACTCTTATCATTATCACAGCTCATGTAAAATGGCAAATTGAAATCTCCTAAAATTATAACATGGTTTAGTTCATTTAAAATATTTTCAAATAGATTAAAATATTCAATGTACAAGTTTAACTTAGAATTAGGTTGAAAATAAACTACAGACACATAATAAGTAATTTTCCTATACCTCAATTTTACAATAACACATTCAGTATCACAGCCCTTGGAGTCTATAATTTCATAGGACATTTTCTTGTTGAATGCCAGCAGCACTCCGCCGCCACGCGTAGCTGTATTATTCCTGTCTCTCCGCACAACAGCATATCTGTCATCAAATAATTCTGAAGTATGAATACCTTCACAAAGCCAGGTTTCTGTTAAACCTATTATGTCGTAGTCCTCCGATAGTAGGTTTACATAGAAGTCTCCAGTTTTCGTTCTCAGACCTCTTACATTTTGATAATATACGTTACAAAAGGGAGCCCTTGTAGGAGGTTGTAATGTTACATTGCTACTGAGCAAGTTACTTAGGAGGCTGTCTCCTGTGACTGTGACAGGCTCCTCCTTTTCCATAAAAAACGCGAGACCAAGGCTCCATTGGGCCAGATTTCTCTTCTCCATGCATCCCGGAAGTGCTCCTGATTAATTGTGACTTTCATTGATGCATATAGCGTTGGATGCTTAGAAGTGTGGCTTTCACAGGTAACTTCTGGGAAGTGCTTCAGTAGCATTTTTCTTAGGTCCTCTGGCTTCGTGGAAGGACTTAATCGTGTCACGTGTAGAGATACATGCCTGGGCATTCCCTGTACTTCACTGACATTTTCGTTTTTCCCAACCACAAAACGTCTACGTTTTCTTGGTTTGACGGTCTCCCAGCCGTGCTCGTTCTGCGGCTGAGGGTTTTCCTCCGCGAGTTGTTGAACATTATGTAATAAATTTCGTGACTGCGCTTCTAAGATCGCAGCCCCAACTTGTTGGCGGGTTATATTTTCTTTATGTTTTTGTCGGGTTTTGTATTCACTTTGTTTTTGTTTATCATCTGTTGCGG